TGTTGACAAAGAATGGCATCAATTGATCCCAACATATCTCAAGACACCACCGACTCGGAGGACGATGTGCTCATTGTTGACACTTCCTCCGAGTCGCTCGATGTGGACCGCATTCAACTCAACCACTCATTCACACCCAATGGCGTCCATCGTCGCCAAGAAGTGGACCGATCGCGCCATTGGTTGCCCGCAATCGCCACGACTGTCACCGCCGATGACCGCAACGAAGACACCATTGATTCGCAAACCATTACTATAGACGACGACAGCGACAGCGAAGAGTCGATGTCACAAGACGTTCAACTCATCTATAGTCCACACCCGACGCCGCCCTCGAGTCCAATGCTTGTGTCGCAAGTGATGGCCGCCGGCGGGGATGTGATGGCCGACGCATACTCTCCACCCGATGAACAACCGGTCATTAGTGGGCCCATGAGTTGCGGCGATTGTCAACAGCCGATGGCGGACCCGCTGAACGACAAATGGATCAAATGCACCGCTCATTGTCGCCAATACTATCACATCTCATGCGTGGGCATCAGTCGCAAAGTCTACGATCTGATCCATAAGACACATACCGTTAAGTGGATGTGTTATAACTGTATGGAAAGCGAACCTCAAGACAAACCACTCTTTCAGATAAAATAAGATTTAATTTAGTATTTGTAATAACAGAGAGATTGTTATCAAAAGTTTTTCAATACATTTCATTTCATTTAATTATTAATACTTTAAATTTTAATTCATTAAATTTCATTAAATAATTCATTAAATTTTAATACTTTAAAAGCTTTTTTAGAAATTTTGATTCAAAAATAAATGTAAACTTATTTTGTATAAAGTTTTATAAGTTATGTTTTCCTTCAACTTATGTGTTAACAAATAAATGCTTTTATCATATTTTAACTTTAATTTATGAGATTATCCGCGAGATTACTAATGAATTGATTGGTTATTAGATATGAAAAATGATTATGAAATTTAATGTGCGTTTAATTTACTATAGAAGTTAAATGTATGCTTCACTACAAGTACGGTATAAGTGGGTAAATAACTCAACTCTTATGACATCTCGTAATTTTGATATTCAAAATAATGTATTATAAATGTGACCATAATTTTTCATTTATTCAAATGCCATCAAATATCACATCGATTTTATTGACTATTACTTACAAAAGCCTATAAATAAGGTTAAGCAGCAAATAGTTTATAAATATTTTACTATTTTAGGTGACATTTAGGAAACGATTAGAAACTACTAGACTATACACCAAATCTCTTAATAGTTGATTAATTGTTAAAACCACACCATTTGATATAACAAATATTTCATTATTGTGCTAACACTCGGACTGAATACTCTGTAAGTGAAGAGTAGATTCGGTAACAAAATGGTGATTGATTTTAAAGACAATTATCTTCACAGGTATTGACACCAATTGGGAGACAATGGGGATCGACGTGGAAAGAGTGGCCACTAAAGTCCTCGACGAGGGCCTGTTGTGTGGCATATGCAGTGACATACTGGAGGACCCGCTCATGATTGATGTCTGCGAACACTCCTTTTGCAGACATTGTATCTGCAGATGGTATAAGACTAGCAAAACATGTCCGACGGTATGGTTTGTTTAGAATGGCGTCCAAATAGCGATTCTTTATACTAACACTTTGTTTTATAGGATAGGAAATCATTCACTGAAGACAAATTGGTTAAAATACCCCGATTTATGAATAACCATTTAAATGAATTGAAACTGAAATGCGTTCATTACAAGAATGGCTGCAAAGTGGTCGCAACTCTGGAGACCATTGATAACCACCAAAAGGATTGCACTTTCGATCCGACTGAACGACGAGTGGCCGTTAGGACCGAAAGCCCGCTCAGAGACCTGTCATTCCTTATAAGATCTGGATATCGATACCGATTCCACCATAAATTGCTGATGACTTCGATGACGGGTGAGGTTAAGAAGAATGCCATCCGACTGGTGAAAGAGGCGCTGTATTGTTGCGGTCGCGTTGACTTCACGGCAATCGCCGTCTTTATAAAGACTTATTTGGAGCCCAAAAACGCTCGGTTCTGGCACTGTATCGTCGGAACCGACTTCGACTGCTTTGTCACCGCTTCCTATTGCTATTTGTCGGTCCAATTCGACGGCATCTCTATTATGGCGTTCAAAACTTTGTAAATTAAATTCTCAATTAACTATGAAATAATTTATATATTTATTAATTTCTTTGGTTAACAATTTCTGTATCATTATTAATGAAATTAATAAAACAAATTTAATATAAAAATAATCGGTGGTAATAATTGTGATGATTGTTTCGGTCCATAAGTTTATGGATTAAAGGCGACGATAACTGATTCGTTGCAATCGATTTGAAATCCCTTGCGAACGGCTTCGGCCGCTCTTTGGCTGAAATATGTGATTTGTTTCACGTCTTCGTCTGGCATTTGTTTCACTACAACCTCTTTGGCGCCACTTATTGAACCTAAAGTAAGGATCAGTTAAATTCATTATAAATTTAATTTAAAATATCAAACCATTTAATGAATTGGTGACCGAAAGACTGGACTTAAGGGGAAGTGGTCTCTGAATTCTCTCCATTCTTCTCTCATATACTTTCTCTCGCTTTTTTAAATCTCGTTCAGAAATCGGTTTTTTAATGGCGGGTATATTAATCATTCGACCAACATGGTCATTTAATTTAATATTCAACTCTTCATTGTCTGCAATTCTATGTAATGGCCGAGTATTGTGAGTAATATTGCAATTCAAGTCTCGCTCTTCGTCTACCAATTCATAAATGCATTCAATTATATAATAATTGTAACAAAAATAAAATACTAATAAAACTTAGGAGACAAACCTTCCCAGTAGTGGTTAGATAGAGTCGGTTGGGTTGTTGTGCGTTGCGGTGAAGGTCTTAAAAGTGGTGACCTTTCACTATCATCTCCATCCTCTTTGTGGACTAATCCACAGGTAATGTATTGACACAGATTTGACATCACATCGCATACGGCTTTCAGACTATATGTTGTGTCCATAACTAGCTATAAGAACTTAATGTGCGATCTCTTTGTTAAGTGTTGAGTGCTTTTATGGACCCAAAAAACTCAATGCATTTCTCAGTGTTTGTCATTAAGAGGTTATGTTAGGCTCAGAGATCACTTGAAAACCCATTCAATTCAATAGTTGACATTCAATGCATCTCTCAATAGCTTTATTTTGCATACATTTTTAGTGTGTGTAAAATGCAGTAAACTTTATAACAAAATACTAAATTTCCACACTTTTTGTATTAAACTTATTTCAGTTGATGTTATTTCTTGGGTTTAAAGTTTGCATTTAATCATATGGTTTGTCACAACTTTTATCGACATCTAATATGTGTTTCAATTCATTTACTAAATGTTATTAAAATAGTTGATTAATTAATATAATATGTAAATGTGTGGCAAATTTGAATACAAAAAAACCCAATAAATTATCGATAAGTTATAAGACAATCAGATTTAATACAATTATTACATCCATATTATAGTCATTTTAATAATCACACGATTTAGGCATTAAATTGGATTAGTATAGGGGTTGGGCTGACATATGGGGGGTATGTCTGGACAGAGTATACATATCAATGTCTTTACTAATAAATCATAAGAAAATTTCATTAAAATAATACAATAATTACAATAAAAGTAACAAAAGTTTTGATACATTATCAAAGTTGCATCAAATGTGAGCATCGATTGGTATTGAAGTGAATGTTCGCCACAATTGGCGTCACTTTTGGGGCGACCAATGAATGCGATGTTGTCTTCACTGCAACACATGTTTGAGTCAACACTTTGTGTACGCATTTGAATAACGGATCCATTCGTGAGACAACTCTTGGCCTCAAATGTCTGACAAAGCCATCAAACGGTCGGTCAAGAGGTTTAAGTGTCCGCTAAACACAACCGCCAATCGTCTCAACACTGGCATCACATCCGACACATCCGGTGGCCAAATGTGCAGCTCTTCAGCTCAACCACAGCCACAACAACACAAACCCCAACCAAAAGGGTTTGTCTTCTTTACGGCCAAAGACGACGAACAGACCATTAGTGTCCAGAAGATCACAAAAGTGGCCAAAAGTCTTAAGTGCAAAGTCGATGAGACCGTCGATCAACTCATGGTTCGCAATGACGTCCAATTGGTTCCCGAAAAGGCGCCGAAGAATGTAAACAAATGTCCCCTCAATTGGTATACCATTTACTCATTTGTCTCTTTGTTGTTGTGATGATAGCCATCGATGGCTGACTCGAAGACAGTGTCGGATGAGTTGTTTCAAGAATTGGGCGATGATTTTGACGACGGAATGACAGACCAGTGGATCACCAAAGCGTTGGACTCTTCAGATGGCTATCAATCGTCGGCCAAGAGATCAAATCTGGAGCCAATGGTTTGCGGACCGAATGCCAAGAAGAGTCGACAAAATGAATTGTAATCTTAAGTAATTGATCCCATAATCCATTAATCCGTTAATTTTCTCATTTATTTTTAGCCATTAATAGTTTATTCATAAAAATAAATATTTCAATAAATATTTATTGAAATTAAATTCACATTTGTTTTACTGTTTAAAAAATTCACATAAATTTCACATAAAAATGTCATTAAAATACATATAATTTAAATTAATTATTATTTAATAGACTTTATTCCGATAATAATATAAATAAAATGTCAATAAATGTATGATTTATAGGTATATTTGTATTTAATTATATTTGTTATAAAAATAAAATAAATTTTAACAATTGAAACAATAATAATTGATTAGCCCTTGAAGTGAACAGTGATTTGAATGTTAGCTTTCAATCACACATTGATTTCTCGATCTCAACGTATGTCTTAAAGGCTCTCGTAATCCGTAATTTAATTGACTAATAAATCTTAAACTGTATAATCGCTAAAATAAGTTAGCAGTTAATTATTACTAATCACTCATTACTGGTTTTTCATTGAAAGTGTGCTGTAATTAACAAATAAATGTCTGTTTTAATTGACTTAAAAACAAATATATAAATAAATATTAGCCCAAAAACAGACATTTGTCGATAAAAGCCCAATCCTTTTGGCTGTCGTGCCATTACCTGGCCTTCAAATATTGTATGGACACAATTCAATCCATGCCATGAGACTCGTGGCATAAGTTGTCAATTATAATCACATTAATGTGTATTCATAATGACATTACTGTTTGAATTCATTTCATTTATAGATGAGAACAAACAGAAGTCGTCCGCAAAAACTTATCGCTCGTTATCTATTAGTTTTTAAATGTATTTTATTTTAAAAGTGTAGCAAAAGTTTACAAGTTTTTAGTTTTAAATATTTTTTTTGTGTGTGAGTTGTGTAACAAATATTGTGTCAATTATGTCGAAAGCAATCGCATTAGATATCCGTAAACATAAGAGTGAACACAAGGATTGGATCAACTCTTTTGATCATTTTTCTACTGATGTCACTGTAAATGGCATTTTAGCTAAGGATGAGTTTTGGCGCAAAGAATTGCCAAATAAGGTAAAGATGAACACATTTTCAACATTATTTACAGATATAATGGGTTGCAATAAATAGTTGCTACACATGAAATCACGACCAAGAATATTGTTTTCTCTCACATTGATAAACTAGATGATTTTTCGATTATTATTTTATTAGATAATTGATGTGTAGGTGGAAATCAAATTAAAAATCATCTTTAAAATGAGATATCGAAAATTTGAAAATTTACTTTTTGCCTTTAGTGACTATGAACATTATTGTAATATAGAGCCAGGTTCAGCTAGTTAATAATATAATTATAAGTAAAATTTTTAGGATTTAATATTTTATATCTATTATTGTCAAAAAAGCTATTAAAAAGATTCATTAATGTATTTAAAATGTATTTAAATAAAATTGCTTTTTGAAAGTTTATTTATAATAAAGTTTAGATATTGTCAATCAAAATTGTGACAATGAAATACTATTGTATAATTATTGTATAAATATTAAAATACTTTTGAATAACCTTCGGATAACATAATTATGATAAATTTATTTAAATATTTATATTGCCTATTCAAGTTCCGGTATTTTATATCGTAAATTAGCATTTGTTTCACGCAATTAACTAATTATATAACTTTAATTGTAAAAATCAGGAAAAGGGAGAAACCATTTTCATATATGGAGTGAATTCTGAGAAACAAACCCTAAGTTTGCGAATCCAAACAAAACCCATCACCGATTCAAAGAGTGGACAAATAATTTGCATTCAATATAATTACAACATATTTGTGGACA